TGTCTCTCTCTGGCACGTTATATTTCCTTTTTTAACCCCAAATAACTAACTGTTTCTCTTATTGCAACCGTTTTTTGACTATTCATCAGTTATGTGGCGCTTTCCATAAAAGCGTTTTCAGTTAAGTCGCAATGTTTGGACTTGAGCCAACTGGAATCCATGTCCCAGTAAAGGGGTAACGAAAACAGTTATGTTGTTTGTGTTTACTCAACCTGAGGCTCAAGTTTGTACTGTTCGCTAACGCTTGGTATACTGATTAACGGACAGTATATCCTCGCATTTGAATGCGCACGCTTCAAGTTTCACGCTAAATCAGCATTCATAACTTCGCGCAATAATGTGTATCATTTATTAGTCTCGCTTTCCCAAACCGAGCCGTTTCAGGCATATTGAATAGTTCTTACCTACGTAGCCTCACAAAATCGAGAATGATTTATAGTGCTTCAAATGTATGCTAGTCGTATATATACGAGAATAACAGAACATGGAGGTTGGGATACAAAGCAGAGTGAAAGGGGGCCAAACAGGTAAGGTGACTAACGAGAATAAACAGTTTTTGTTTGTTTCATCATACACTTTTATTCTTTATTGTTTTTTATGGGGCATATGTTAACTGTTAGATGTGTGTGTGGGTCTGTGAAATCATATAATGTCGCTTTTTCATCGGTGATATATTCCGGTGTTCTGTTCGTGTTTTTATCAGTTATTATGTTTGCTGTTTCCTCAAGTTTATCAATCTTATTATCCTCAGGCTTCATACTCCATTGTTGATCCATTAATTGCCCCTAACCCAATATATATGATATATATATAATATAGTATGTATATAATATATATAATAATTAATATATAATAATATATATAACAAATATCGAATGATATATTGGTCTTATAAGTACTCTTTGTATTTCAATTTAAGCGATCTCGTTGATTGTTTCTGGGGCGTTTGACCGATCATGATTTGATGTCTGTTTGTTTTATACGATATCATGCAATGTATTTTTTGAATTTGTTCTCATTCACCTAACCAGCAATATCCTCTATTGATTCAAAACCACGCGACTTGTTATCTGTTACTTTCTGAATGTCAGTAACACTGCCTAGATCGTCCGAATTCGTTCGATGATATTCCAATCTTCTAACCACTATCCACTCATGTACTATCTCCCGCACGCGATTGCGTATCTAACTCCGACCTGTTTTTGAAATTAACTCTGCGGTGGGAAATTCATTTCGTTCGCTCTGAGATTCGTCTCCTCAGACTGGCTATTTCAGTCGAAAAATGTGGACAGAGAGAAAATAAATTAACAATGCAGTCTAGTCTGTTTGGCACGTATCGTTTATCGTTGGCGTGGTATTCCCAACGCATTCTTTTTGTTTCATCTATTATTTTTTGCTCCATTTTAAACTAAACGTTTTTGTCCAGTCTTGAAAAGGATCAAAACGTTTCCGTAGCGTTTTATTGTTACTTTAAACAGTGCAAACAGCATAAAATAAATACACCTTATTTTCTCGATTATTTTTAAACTTCTGTGTTGCCATAATTTACGAGTAATGCAATGACAACCTTTGTTCGCACCCCCCGGGAAGCCTTAGGTGCACTTGTCACATTTTTAAAATGCGCAACTGTTTGTGCTTTCGCAGGGACTAAGGAAAAAAACACGGTTAATTTATTCACTCCTTTTCTGTTAGTCGAACATGTGCGTATACAACACACCGTGTCAAAGGTAGTTGAAGTGATCAGCAGCAAGTGCTTTTGAGGATCACATAACGAATCCGTGTTGCGGTAGTTTCCTCCCTACCGCAAACTATTGGTTCCTTTAACGTCATTCGATCATGTTCTCGATCTTAGTCGATTCGCACTCGTCAAGTTTGCGCTTCGTAGGTGTCAGAAATTTAGTGCCTATCTTCCACCGTCACTCAGGTTAGCACACAGTTTCTTTTTTTCCTGTTCCTAGCCACCTTACATTTTTCGAAGTTGCTAATGTGCTTAACACTACCCATTTGCACAGATGTGATATATCCGTCTGTTCGCAAGTGTTATCATTTTTCGCGCACCAAATGTTTGCTCACCGATAACTCTTATTACATATTTTGAATCGCGCTTTTTCCACGGATTCAGTCCAACTGTTTTCCTCGCAATACATATGATGGTCACCTTATCTTTCCACTATTGATTTACAGTACACTTCGTAATCTGTTCTCTCGTGAACGTTTTTTGTCTCTAATTGGGATACTGTTTACTCAATGATTTAGTTCCTTTTCTTCACCGTGGAACACTCTCCACAGTGACTTATCGCTTCCGTCCTCGTACAGGAGATTTATTTGTCAATTCGCCATGTTTTACTCGTCCCGGGCTGTCACTGAAAGTGGATTGCATTCGTTTAACTTTCTTCACAATACAAATTATAAACAGCTACAGTGGGTCATTCCTCATGATCAAAAAAACTTCTTGTCAAGCTATTTTGACTGGTAACCGTAATACAGTAAACTGTCCGTTTTACTCATGACGTATTCTGATGAGTGGGATGCTTTGTTCCCCACGAATCAACCTATTTATTTGGGTATCCCGGATTTTGTCCGTAAGCTTAATACATTTTTTTCATGTCATCCACTGTCTTATGGGACATATCAAACGTTTTGCCTACTCTTCGGCAAGAATAATTGTTATTGCTCCATAGATTTGGCAAGCCACGAAACACCAGAGTTCGCAAAATCTGCATGCAACAATTTAGATTTTCGTTCTCAAACAAAACCCGATACCGAGGTTGTTAATCGTGAACAGTGTACGCGAAATGGCTTCACAGCCTGCACGTATTAGGGATGGTGCATTAGCTTTGATTCTGGGAACAACCACAGCATTCCATGGAACTAATGCGGTGCCGCTAGCTTGTGTGACAAAAATCACCGGGTGTTTACTGATCGTCGTAGACAATGGTATCTTTTATTCATTTAATTTTCCCAATAGGTTATTTTTTCATTTTATTTTCCTCTTGCTAAGTTTCTCGTTAGAGTGCACTGACTGGTGGCAGAGCAAATGTCGCAGCTCGAACGTCAAATGGCCGCATAATAGGAGTTTGGTGGTTTGTAGATGTGTTTATAATAATGACAAGTCAATATTTCGCCTCCAACTTTCACAACATGCAGTTTACATTCTCAGTGTTTGGATCTTGTTGACGACGGTTTCGCCTATTGGCATGAATGGATGACAGTGGCGCAATAAATGTCTTGGACACCCTCATCAAGGGGAGTTCGTGTCAGACTACAAGGCGGTCGACTCAGTCAAATGCTGCTTTGAAATCATGCCAGATAGAAATTATGTTTACGAAGGGAATATCTATTGAATAATTTCCCGAAAATATAGCTGATGCGGCCTTGAATCGGTCTAAAACCAGTCGAATGCCAACGCATGTACCGTTTACGTACCATAAACAACCGACGGAGTATACTGTTCTCCAGAATCTTAGGGACCATGTTATTCGAACCAATTCATCCGTGGTTCACACAATAGGATGTATTGCCTTTCTTGTATTCCGGTACAGAGACCTATTCTTATCATTTCTGCAGAACTTGTTTACTTTCTTATATTAAATCCAGGATTTTCGTCAACTCCTGGACTATTGCTAAGCCCTCATACTCAAAAGTCGATGGGAACAAACTATCCGAGGGGGAAGCGTAATACTTTTGACGAAAACCTATTTCCCTAGTGATCTCCTACTCGGAATAAGGACTGATATCCGTCGGCCTCCTTAATTGACACACTTGCACCTAGTTTCCGTGCGCCCGTATTCCCTACTAGAAAGCAAAGATTGTGATTGTTATCAGTAATCACAACCATCTTACTCTCTCTCTCTCTTCCTCTATTGTCCCACCCAACATTTCTCATGGTCAGTCCTCAAGCTCTTCATGAGTTGACCTTTCAAGGATTTGTGCGTATTGTCGTATTTGTCGAACTGGAGGAAATTCCTCTTTTGTTCTGTCTGTATTCACATGCTTCCAAAGATCACTTGTAATCATTGGATTGCGATAATTTAGCGACTGTGATTTATCGCATTCTTTTTATGACCAGTCTAGTTAATTTCATTTTATTGTCGATTACACTACGTATACACTAGCAACCACTGATTTTAGGATAGACAATTGGTACCATTCAGCTTTAGATTCGAATTGCTAGAGATTGCTTGTATGTACCGATAATTGTGTATGATCGTATGTAGAAGAGATCCAAATTTCTCGTATTCATATCCGTGCAAATCCATTCACGTAACTCCCCCCCCCC